TGTCTTGGTAAAATCATGAGCATCTTGGATATTTTTTTTTCTTTTGAAATTTGGAAGAGTAATTATTTTATAACATGGTTAGTTGATGTTTGAATCAAGAAGTGGCTATAAGAACCCTAGCAACATCTTTTGAATATTGTTATATCTCTTGATAATACAGTTGAACTGGGTTTGAGATAGCTCAGTTTTTGTCAAGCATTCTGTACATACATGACAATTATTAAGTCATTCTGTACATACATGACAATTATTAAGTCATTCTGTACATACATGACAATTATTAAGTCATTCTGTACATACATGACAATTATTAAGTCATTCTGTACGTATGTGGCACCTGTTAAATCATTCTGTACATACGTGGCACTGCTAAAGTATTCTTATTGACTCATTAATGCCTACCATCCTATTTTTGGGATAATTGGTATTTATGGGTTATAGGTAGAAACCTGTAATTAACATATTATTTTTTATTTGTAACTTTTTCTTATAAATCTATAATGAAGACTGGATTTTATTGTGGGTATTAACATGTTAAATTCTATTTTTTTGGAGAACTATTTGACTTCTTTTCTTGAAATTGGAATACTTAAAACGAAAGATTAATTCTGATAACATTTCAATTTTTTCAGGTTTTTATAATCCTGAGAAATTTAAAATGTTATCAAAATTAATAAAAGAAACTATATTTTCTTATATAGGAGAAACTTGAAAATATTCATAATTTCTCGTATTAAAAACCTTAAAAATGCCAAATGATAAAAAAAGAATTTATTTTATTACAAAAAAATGGATGCTGATTGTGAGTTTTATTTAAAAAGAAAAAAAAGTTTAACAGAAAAACATTTTAGTTTTATAATGAAAACTGGGTAATAACCCAGAAGTATTTCTCAATAACTTAAAATTCAAATAAACAAACATTTTAATGTTTTTAAATTGTCTTGTTACAAAGTCTACACAGTGATGTAATGGATAGCGGCTCAGATTGAGAAATTGGAGAGCCAAGTTCGAATTCCAGTTGAATCCATTACATTCACTTACATGCTAATACCCTTGGGAAAGGTATGAATCCTCTTCTTCTCCCTACAGCTATAGGTAAATAAATAAATATAGGGTTCTATAGCCTTGGATGGCGACTAGTCTACTGCAGAAAGAAATATCAACTTACTGTGGGGAAAAAAAAATCTGCCTTGTCAGTCATGTATCAAAAGATACATGATCACCTAAATGTGTATCACACATGGCACATAACTGACTGACTTGTTACTAAGTGCCTATAATTGTGGGATAAGCAATTGCCTGATAATTCAATTTAATTTTCTGAATAACAATATTATTTTTCTGTCTTTAATGCTATTTTTTGTTTTTGTTGGACATTTTACTTTGGCTCCCACATTTTTTTTGTTTTTACTAATTTTTTCTTTGGCTCCAATAAATTTTTTTGGTTTTATTGATAATTTGATATTAGCTTTGACATTCTAATTTGACTGCAATTTTTTTTTTATATATTTACTGATGTTATCTTTATTGGAGCCAAAGTAGAATGATCAATAATTTTTTGCTTTTACTGATATGTTCTTGTCTGTTTTGGACATTTTATTTTAGCTCCGATAATTTTTTGTCTTTGCCTGAATTTTCTTTTTCTTTTCTCTTCTTTTTTCTTTTCTTCTCTCTTTTTCTCTTTTCTCTTTTTCTCACTACACATTAGTTCCAGTAACTTTCTTTTTGTTTTTACTGATATTTTTGCCTTGTTTATTGACCCAGTATTTTCTCTTTTTAGTCATGTTTTTCTTATTCTTTAACATTCTTTTTCATTTGTTTTTACTGAAATTTTTCCTGTATTTATACAATGAATTATTGAATCCAAAGTAAAATATCAATAAATTCTATACAAGCTCGTATTTTTTGTTTTTGCCAATATTTTTTTTTTCTCTTTGAACATTCTAAATTGGCTCCAATAATTTTTTATTTTTACCAATATTTCTTTTTTTTTATCTTTGAACATTCTATGTTGGCTCCAATAAATTTTTGTTTTTACCATTATTCCTTTTTTTTATCTTTTAACATTCTGAATTGGCAACAATAATTTTTTGTTTTTACTGATACTTTCTTTCTGTATTGAACATTCTACTTTAACTAAAATCTATCTTTTAAAATGTTACATTCAGAAATCTTCTCAGAATTTTGCACTAAACACTTTATTCAATCCATATGAGTAGAATTTTCAGTAAATGATTCAATGACTGAAACATTGACTATAACAATCAAGATAAGGACAAAAATTCATATAAATCAGTGCATCATAATAATTCTTGGAGGCAGTCTCTTCCTGTAGATTGAATAAAGGATGTTATTAAGTATGACCAACACCTGAAGAAGGCCTGAGTTACAGTGACTGAAATGCTGTGATTATGACAACCAAAATGAGAACATTAGTTGAAATGGATCAATAATAATAATGTATGATCTAGGAAGTTCAAGCAGAAATTACCAAACTGGTGCAAATTACATTGACATGCCAAAAGTCATGCAATACCAGTATGTGTCGGTAATGGTAGCTGGTGCCACTGTAACTCATGGAGATATCCAAACCGATATCAATTATGCTCTGACTTTTGAGTCATTGTGAACACCAGCTAGACAAGGTGACATGAATTATTAGAATTCAAAAGTGGTATTGACACTGAATGGTCAGATGGATGGAATATTCCATTTCTGAAATCGTATGGACATTTCACATCTTTGTATATAGCGGAAGGCATTAATGCCCACCATAGGTAATTAATGATCATGACCAGAGGCTTCTAACTAATTTTAGTTCAGCATTCTTCAGTTTTCATGGAATATAAAAATAAAAGACCCACCGGGTGCCCCTGCTAACATCACAACACCAGACACACCACCTCACTTGGATTCTTGGCTGAACTGGTCACTAATTGGACTCTGCAGGACTGGCAACATGTGGTGTGGTCTAATGAGTCATTGTTCCAGCTATTTTGAATTGAAGATGGTGTATGAATGAACTTCAATTGTCAACAAGGCATTGTGATTGTTAGTGGTGGTTCTATGTTGGTGCAAGTTGTGTTCAAGTAGTATGGATTAGATTCACTATTCTGTGTCATTGACTGGTCACTATTATGTTTCACTTTATAACCATTTGCATCCATTCATAGACTCTATATACCCAACAGTGATGGGTCATTTTAACAGGATAATGTATAGTGTCATTGGTTCCAAAGATTCTTGACAAAATCTAAAGAAGGGTCTGTAATGTAATTGATCCTGATCAGGCATCTTGACTTCAGTTAGTTCCTCACCTTGCCTTTTTTTACAAATATTTTCATGGCAACTGTTCGGATGAGATTTTTTTCCCTGGTGCTAGGCTACATGAATTTAAGTCTGCTACTAGATTGGCAACTAGGTCTCACCATTTTACTGCTGAACTAACTAAATGCAATTGCCACTTTTACTCTAACAGTTTCTTTTCTCATATGTAATTGATGCCATATTAAGTTGCTGCATCCCACTGGATCATAGGATGTCCTACATAATGCTAGGAACTTACCTTGTGATTTTTGACATGTCAGTGTATAAGAATGAAGTTGAAGATTTCAAGCCTGTACTGTGGGTTAATCTATAGATTAACCCACAGTACCCATAATCCCCAAAATGGAATGGCGAGTATTAAAGGGTTATAGGTAGAAACCTATAACCCTATAACAATTGTGCTTGTCCATCCTTTTGTTAGTTCACATGACCAAAACGTTCTGACAGTAGTGCATAAATAATGAACTATTTTATTTTGATTGTGTGGAAAGAGGGGGAAAGACACTACTTCGTTTCTGTGAGAAAATAACAAAGAAATATAGAATTGAAGAGAGAGAGAGAGAGAGAGAGAGAGAGAGAGAGAAAGAACAGATATGATGTTTACTCGTTCCCCCATGAGGACGAGATGTGACACAAGGTCTTTTTAAAGTGGGGACACGTGCACCCAGGCAAGGGACAAAAATTGCCCACAGCCCCTGCAACTGTTGGTTGCGCTGGCCTCGGTGCGAGCACCAATCCCTCCCTCTGGTGCAATGGGAGGGTGCGGCTTTGGGCAGTTGTTCCCCAGAGCTGGGCACCTCTCTGTATTATTTTTTCAGTTGCCCCTCTGTCCTTTGACACTGAATGCACTCTACCTGAAGACAGACGCACAACTGAGAGATGATAAGCCTGCGTTGAAAATCCCTCCAAGGAGGAATTTATAAGAACAGATACTACACTTTGATCTTAGCCAAATGGCCGAGAAGGTATGGCAACTGTGATAATTGTGACATTATTCAGGTGCCGCAGTATCAAATGATGAAAACTGAGTAAGGTCATTGCCAAAATTCCAGTTACTATAAATAACATCATCTGCTGAATTATTTTAAAATTCTTATTAAGAGAAATGTTCATCAGGAGATTTGGCTAGAAAGAAAGAAGGTAAGATAGAAGTTGTAAATACCTTCTGCCAATACCCCATAAATAATGGACTATTCTGTTTTGATCTCTTAGAAAGACAGGAACAGACACTACTTGGTTTCAGTGAGAAAATGAATGAAAGACAGAAAGATAGAAGTGATTAACAGCTGTTTCAGTGAAATGGAAAAAGTTGTCAATTTCAAATTTTTTCATTTGTACCCACTTCTTAAAGTAATGACTGACATTTGTATTTATGATTGTTATTGCAGTATTTTGTTAAAGTTGTTAAGCTCAAATGTTTAATGATGTGATAGGAGAATTTCTATGAATATTTTATTGTCGTAGAACCCATGAGCTTATTCAATCATTAACTGAAGAATTCAGATTTAAATTTTAAAATCAATATTGGATTTTCATCATTTTTATAATAGCAAACTTATGGTGGGCATTAAATGATTTAATGTAGTCAAAATAATTCCTCATCTCAGAAATTCAGATGGGAACAGACTATTGAGATAGAATCATCATTATTTTTTTTGTCTTCCTTTTTTCAGGCAAACTGTAGACTTTTGTCAGAAGATGGAACATGCAGGTGCATCATGGATAACTATCCATGGACGAACTCCAGAGCAACGGGGTGAACCAGTCAATCTTGAAGCAATCCAGTTAATAAAGAGCAGATTGAGTATACCTGTTGTTGCCAATGGTGATGTCAGGACTCTTGAAGGAGCACAGAAAACCTTTGAAAATACGAAAGTTGATGGTAAGTAACATATATATTTAAAATACATGATTACAATATTTTTTTAGATTTTAGATTATAGGGTTTTTTTTTTATATTTTAAATTACAGGTTTTGTATAAATTTATCTTGCTAATCTGTGAATTGTTTTAATTAAAATAATTGCTAAACTAAATCCCATTATGAATGAGATTGTAATTGTTAGTATCCACATAGTCAAATATGATACAATACCAGCTTAATGTGCCCCCAATAGCTATGTGCATATTTGTGGGGAGAGACCCAAATTATTCATTTCCTGCAGCCAGTGCCATAAAGGTAAAAGAGTGACTTATGATAATTTTTCTTTTAATTCACTGGGGATGTTCTGCCCTGAGGCAAAAGTATTCTTTATATATATCTTGTTGAATGAGATGGAAAACTGATCATTGGCAAATGGAACAAGATGGAAGATTGTGTTTAAAGTTCCTTTTCCTTTACTCTCTGCATGATTTGTAAGCATTATATCCTCTTCTGTTGCATTTTTTCAAGGCCTTTTAATTACAGTAGCTTTGTTATCAATCTCATTCAAACAGTTTTTTCTGTTGTCATAGCAGGATATAGCATCACAACCACAAAAGGAGTTGTGTGCAATGATAGGACAAACAATTTGCCTTGCAAGTAAAGATACCTACAGATAGTGAAAGAGTAAAAAAAATACTTGTTGAAATGTATACTTGAGGATGATATACCAGATAAAATACATGTTTTTTTTTTTTTTTTTTTTGCTTTGATGTACACTCTTCAATCAAGGGAGATAAATTAGCAAAGGAAAGTTGCACTTGGAAAAATAAAAATGGTAAAAAAAAGCTTATTTGGTAACCTATTATATTTTTTAATTTATTAATCCAACACGCTTAGGCGATTATGTATCTTTTGATACATGACTGACGAGGCAGATTTTTTTTCCCCGTAGTAGGTTGCCATTTCTTTCCATTTGCCATCCAAGGCTATATAACCTGGTCTGTCCTGCTATTTACCCATAGCTGGGGGGAGAAGAAGAGGATTCATAACTTTCCCAAGAGTATTAGCACGTAAGTGAATGCAATGGATTTGACTGGAATTCGAACTTGGCTCTTTGATTCCTCAATCCAAGCTGCTATCCATTACTCCACCATAATGTTTAAAGTGATAAAAGTTGTTGGATTAATAAATAAAAAATCCATTGCCTTGTTTACATTAGGATATGAAACTGAGCAGATATGAAATTTTGAGAATCTATGAGGAGAAAGATTTTGCTTAAAGGCAATATTCAGTCTTAGATCGGTAAAGGTTCTTCGTGACTGAGTCGGTTAAACCACGTGAGATCTAATTATGGTTCCCTCTGTCGGAGGGGGAGGGGGGTTGTGGTGCAGGTTTGAATCCTGCTGGAGAGTGCATAATTTTCTTTCATAGTGTATCTCAAATACTCAGGGCAGTAGATGAAAAAATAAATATACTGTTTAATAAATAAACTGTGTCTATTCAAATATGAATATTGACTAAAAAAATAACATTTAAAATGATAAAAAGACTGAAATGTATATCTCAGCATAGCATTGAAATGAATGCTGTGTGTGATATATATATATATATACATGTCTTAAGAATTATATGTGTTGTCTTGAGAGATTTATAACTTAATATATCTTTGAAATGTAATATGGCGCGTGTGTGTGTATATATATATATATATATATATATATATATTGTCTGCTGCTGTCATGTGTCTTGTTTCTCCAAGTGTATGTTATGTATGCATTTATTTCAATCTGTCTTTGTAATGGAATATGCCCAAATATATATTAAATATGATGAATGAGGCGAGTTTTGTTCATACAAACCTTTTATGAATATTAATGCATGAAATGTGATAATTAACTTTGCAATAACGTTAGCTTTAAAAAAAATGTAGGAAATAAATGGTGTCAGAAAAAACAAAATTACAAAGTCTCACAAAAGGTGATAACTACAAAAAAAAACAAGTTTTGACATTAATGACAAAATACTCTTTATGAGTTTTATTTTGAACATGAGTTACACAATATATTTTCTATCAAATAAACTTCTAATCTTTGTTAAATATGGTACAGTGGTTTTCAGAATCCCAGGTCACTTACCTCCCCTTGCAATCTCAAATTTCTTCTCTATTTTGAATTCTCATCATTATACTGATGGCTTATATCCATGACTGAAATTCCTCTTCATTTCATCTCTTGGCTACAATTTACACTTCTTAGATTTAAAATTTCTCTCATTTTAGGATTTCTGTATGAGATGTAATAATATTCAAATATCTTAGAAGCAGCTCAGTCAGTTATTAATTTTAGGCTGGCATCTCTTATTACTTATTTCCATTGCTTTTATTACAGTGGTAGCATTAGATCAGGGATTCCGAAAGTGGTCAATATCAACTCCTGAGGGTCATGAGTCTATTCAAGTTTTTTTTTTTTTTTATTAATGATTTCACCCCAAGCAAGACAGTAAAGTCACTAAAACCCAATGGGTTACTGATTGTGAAAGAATAAGAAAAAAAAAGAGAAACATTATTAAGGAGTGAGAACAATAAGAGAGTAATCAATAAGTAGATAGATTGACATTGCATTTAAATTTTTGAAAATCAAAATTTTCTGGAAAGCATGGAACTGGAAGAGATTTACATAAGTGAGAAGCGTGAAAGAAGAAACTTATACAAATTATGGTTACATCTATTTTAATTGCAAAATGAGACCTTACCACCAATCTAGTAATGCACTTAAATTCATAAAGTCTAAGTATTATAGAGGAAAATTCATCAGAACAATTACTATGAAAATATTTATAGAAAAGGCACAGGAAAGTTACATTACACTGGTTGGAAAGTGCCTAAAGCTGAGGTGCCAGGTCAAGACCAATAATAATCTTTGGATTTATCAAGAATCTTCAAATATATAGCAGGAGCATCGAACTATGGGTGACAGCAATATTCAAAACTTGGACTTAGGAATATGAAAGATAGATTCTTGTCTAGCATGACACAGTGAACCAACTTTCTTTGAAGCTGACCTAGCAATAGATTCAATATAGTCTTTCCACTTCATGTCAGCTGTGATCGTTAGACAGAGAAGGTGAAATGAGTCACTCTTCTGGAGGTTAGCATCAGCCATACTGATGGAAGAGAGAAAGGAGTCTCTCAGATGACAAATAGAGAAGTTGCAACTAAAATTCACCAATTTCCAACCAAATGTCAATGCCATGCTATTGTTCATCAAACACCTCCTTCCTGTTAATGATGTCAACTAATTCAGTAAAAAAGAAAGGTATATTAATGTTGTAGCATACCTATGGACAATAATGGGTATGTCCCCATTCACATAAATACAATAATAAATACTGTATGTTGGTCTGCAGTTGGAGATTCATTGTGGAATTCACTTGACTCACTTCTAACAGTTGACTACTACTTCTATGCACCGCTGTCGAATCTTATATGTGTTGTTCGTGTCCTAAGTATTATCATCCATTATCAACCTTTGTTTGATTATTCTATTCAGTAACCTTCACTAGGTTACAACAATTTATTTGTAATGTGTTTATTATTACCTATATTATTTATGACATTTTTTTGTCATTATTATTATTTTGAACAAACACGTTGTGTATAGTAAGAGAAATAAAAACTGGGAAAGCAATAAGAAAACCTAAAGTTAAAATGAATTTTACCACAAAACAATAATTAAGGAAAAGAGCAAAGGAATTATTACTCTTAAAAAAAATAATTGTTGTTTTTATACAGCTTAGGGGGTGATTAGAGATCATGGATTTCATAAATGGGTTGATTTAAAATGTATGGGCACCCCTGCATTAGATCAAAATTTCTCTGAATTCCATGTTGCATTCTTTCTCTTGTGATTTCAGATTTCCTTATTTCCTCTTCCACTTAGAATTATTATATCAGTTTTTTGGGGGGTTTTTTTTGGCAGCAAGGATCAAGAGGTTTTAAGCAACATGGAACCATCTCTTAATTGCTGTTGTTCCCAGGTCCACCCTGACCTGGTTTGGTAGCACCTGTTAGGGTCCCGTCTATGGGCAAATAATGAGTCCCCAACTCTGGGTCAAAACACTATGAAAATATAAAAATTCATTTTTATAGTAAAAAAAAAAAATACCAAAGCTCTCAAAAAATTTCGGCATTAAGTGACCCATAAGGAGTTGATATATCGTTAAAAAAACCAAACCAAACCAAATACTTTTAGGTTTTAGTTTTCTTCCCAAGTAAGCCAAAATAAAAATACTCCCATTTCTGCTACATCTGTGATTCTCAAGATGCATTTGGTAAATAGAAAAACAAGTTTATTATTCAAAGAACATGGTTTGAAGCATGATGTTGGTTTTTATCATATTCAGAAGTGGCTGTTCTTTGGTTGGAATCAAAGCTTCTATTCATAATGTAAGAAGGCAGGAGTAATTCCTAACATATTTTAGTATGGAATCTCTTAGAATAGGGAAAAAAAATAGGAATTTCACCATCCTGTCTAAACATGCATTCTGTTTAATTAAGGAGTGGTGTCTTAAAAAGAAGATGAAAATCTTGGATTGGTTCAAGCAAAATTCTAGATTTTATCCAAAAGTCTGTAGAATGGCCTTGAGAATAGAACAGGTTGGAAAAGATTTGACTGTTTGATAAAATTTTGGTATGTGTAACTATATTAATTGCTAAAACTCTGTTTTTTGATTTTGAGAGGTTGGTGTATGACTAGTGCATTTCTTAAATTGTTATTTATGAACACAAAAGAGACTTCATAAATAACAATTTAACAAATGCACTAGTCATACATAGAAATAAATTCAACCACAATTTTGATTTTATAAATGCTACACTCATAAAAAGAAATAATTCACTTAGAAGGAAAATTCTTGAGTGTGCTGCCATTGAATATTATCCAAATATTAATCTATGCCCAGGTTTTTTCTCATTATCACCTTTCCTAATAGAATCACTGCACTCCCAAGCCAATGTACATA